CATATTGGATGATTTTTAAGCTCAACAGTTTCAGTAAGCATGATCAATACTCCAATTAAAATAACACTGACATTGACAATCTTTTTCTGGTGGTTGAATCAGTCCAAACTTGAGTTTGTATTAGAATAGTCGGAATCAATGTCTATTTTGTCTACTATTGTTTTTGAGTTCTAATTTATTCCCTGAATTTTATTTTCAAAATCTTAATAGCCAATTTATTATGCATAATTTCTATTATAGCAAAGGAAGATTTAGAAAATTTAGGGAATAAATTTAAACAAAATTAGTGGTTTTTTTTCCATTCGTTTTGATGAAAAATTGACAAAAAAATTGATTGCTATTAAAAAATTTAACGAATAAAATTGACAAAATGGAGGTAAATAAAAATAATTTCAAAAATTCTAAGGTATGGAAAATATTATTTAGACTTAAAATGTGTACTTGATAATCACAACCATTAAATAGATAATGAATCTCAATAAATACTGAGATCATAATGAAATCAATAGTTTTAATTATCAACTACACATCTTAAGTCCCATTGTGCCTAAGGTATACATCATAATTATTCACACTTTTAGATATTGAAAACGGCATCATCTCGCTTTTAATTATCTCCCCTCTTCAAAAGTTCCACTGCACAGTCCTTTCTGCTTCTGAATAATGCCCTTTTGGTCTGGAGAGAGAGAGAGAGACTGAATGAATGGCTATGCAATCACACTAGTACCCACATCACCAATTATGCTTCCTCTGCTTCCAAAGGGCACTATTGCCTTTCCTTCTCCACAATTATCTTTCATCAATTCATATCTCTACAATTTGTACAACAATGGCGGTGTCCTTTGATGAAATCCCCCCAAATGCCCTTCTTCGGAAGTGTGACCGAAACTGTAGAGGAGGGTTCAATCTAGGTGTTGATCTGGGTATGTCCTGCAGTGGCCTCGCACATAGCAAGGGCTGCTCTATTCGACCGTTGACAATGCGTATATGTTTATAACTGCCACAATTACTCTCTATTTCTCTCTCTCTCTCTCTCTCTCTCTCTCTCTCTCACACACACACACACACGTATATATTTATATAGAGATAGGTTTTATGTCTGTGTAGTGACTGTTAAGTTAACAAAATAGAAAATACATGTTCATGTTGAGAATTGCATATTGAAAAAGAAAGTGGTTATGAGGTTTGAGTGATTTCGTAATTGTTGGAGTGGGTTCTAATTGATTTAGCGGTGTGGGTCAATTTCTTTTTCTTAATTTCGTAATGATTGTGAGTTGGTGTTTAGTACGAGGTTGATGAGTTTATAATAGGACTTTGTAAGTCTTCTAATGGATAAGAGACCACGTAGTCTGATAAAGTTCGTTATGTTGCTGGTAGGCCGTTGGAGTTGCAGAGAGGTGAATGCTTATGCTAAAGTGGTACTTGTGATTGCTTTTGGAATTTCATGTTTTGGTTCGTTAGGGATTGATTGCCATACTCAAATGTGTATATATGATTGTGTACTTGCAGTTTTTCAACCTTGTTTAGTATCTATCTAAGTTCCATTTTTGAATTTAGGGTTGTGAATTGAGACCTTTGGCCATTTGAATTCATTTGAGACAAATGTTCTTTGAATACAGGATATTATTGTCTTTCTGATTTGTCAATTTTGAATTGATTTTTTTAAATTCACTTTGTAAAAAAGACATTATTAACACCAAGGGTTTCACTTAGTGATAGTTCAATCATTTGATAAATCTCTCGTTGAGGGTAGGTCAGAGATTCAAATATCCTATAAAATGTAGTCTCTTAGGGTAGAAACGGATTTTCACAAGGTCTAGCATTAGTCCGGTACATGAATAGAGAAATAATGCAATTATCCACTAGGACAGCTGCTAGAATTGTAANTTAGTCCGGTACATGAATAGAGAAATAATGCAATTATCCACTACGACAGCTGCTAGAATTGTAAAGCCTATCTTCCATGTCTATGTACATATGATCAAGTCAATATGGGATTTCTAGTGATGATGACATTTGATCAGCATTAAGGAGGAAACATGAAATATTGTGAAAGAAATGTTCAAAGCAATTGAAAGGCATTAGACTAGTTGATAATCTATATGTGTTTGTACAAAATTAATTGAATATACGTGACTAATTCAACAGCTTCAATGAAGAGTTTGTTCGAAAGCCAAAAAAAAATGTATTGTTTGTTAGAATAACTATTGTCCAAAACCAATAAAGAAACAAGTCAATTGAGTTAGATCCTTGTAAGAACTTTAAAAAAACAATGTGACCAGATCACTAAATAAAATTGATTGAACAAATATTGCATTATAACAAATTATAAAACAAAATACAAAATATAGACACACACTTGAGAGAGAGAGAGAGAGAGAGAGAGAGAGAGAGAGAGAGAGAGAGAGACCTCACAGGAGTTGATGTGCCAGAGGCTTATAGGAGTTGGGACCCATAATGAAAATAATAGTGGTGATTGATCAAATCCATATTTTAAATTTATATTTTAACTCTATGTAACATTGCTTGTTAGGAAACAAAAAAAACACTAAGCAAAAAGAAGATTAAAACAAAAAATAAAACACACACACATATGAGCGAGAGAGAGAGAGAGACCTAACCTTGAGGTCATGTTTGGAAGGAGTTGTCTACCGTATCGAAAATCAAATTTTAGTATCGTACCGAATTTATCACTAATGTGGTTAATTTACTATTATTGTGAATATTTTTATCATTGTTATTGAACTCAAAAGAAGTGATAAAATAGTCATCACAATAGTAATAAAAACACCCTCAAAAGTGATAAATCATCTACAAAAGTGAAAAAAAAAAATTCAACCAAAGAAAAGTAATAAAAATAGTTAGTGATAAAAACACACATTAAAATAATAAATCACCCCTGAAAGTACCTTTGTCGAGTCTTGTTTGGAATTAAGGATTCAATTGTCAAATCTAACTTGTTCCGACCCAATATGAATTTTTCCTTTTTTGGTCCCACAATATGAGTTTGACTTCTATTGATTACATATTTAAAGATGTAACATACTAAAAATGTTAACAAATATTGTACATATTCATGATAAATATGGTGATATATTTCATACCCACTATTGAAAAGATATAGCCCTAAACATTAAAGAAATGAGGAATTTGGAGGTCGGTTTCTAAGCTCAATCGGATTCCAAAAAAAAAATTCATTCGCCAATTTTCTTTTGAATTAAGTCTCATCTATTGAAAAGTTAAAGCAATAGACATAATTAACTCCCTTTACAATAGCAAAAAATACCGACAATGTCATCACCTAATTTAAACATCTATTCTAAAAAACTAAGTCATCATCATAATGTATATTTTCCTCTATAAATACAAATCGTAAGACAAGTACGCTAAAAAAAATAAAAAACAGATACACAATAAAAAAAATAAAAAATAACGGGTACGCAATAATCGTCAGGTATACTAAAACACAGACCATTAATATACCTTCTTTTCCATAAACATTGGTCGTTAATATACATTTCTTCTCCATAAATATAAATCGTCAAACATGTATACGAAAACACAGATCATCAAAAAATTACATTAAAACACAGATTGTTAATGTACCTTCTTCTCTATAAATACAGATCGTAAGACAGATACACTAAAATATAAATCGTCAGATAGGTACACTAAAATACAGATTATTAATGTACATATTCTCTATAAACACAAATTATCAGACAGGTATATTAGACGAAATATCATCAGACATCATCATAATGTCAAAATTGCTTGATTCATAAGTTTGAATTTCAAAACTGATAAACAATACCACAAATACCTTAATAAAAAAAATTATATTTTAAACTAAAATCATGTGATGAAGGCAAAATGGAGAGTAAAAAACCAATAACTAACCAATTCCTTAACATTCGCACCAACACAGTAACCCGCATGCAAGTTTTTTTAAAAATCGAAAGATCTTTTTTTATACTAAAAATTCAGTATAACTAAAATTAGTTTACATGCCAAAGGAGAATTACTAACCTAATTTACTATAAAAATAATGTATATATGATAGTGGTAAATATAAACAAATTCAGTTGACATAAAATTTTATTTTAGTTTATTGTTCTAAATTGATCTTATTATCTTTTGAATTTTTCATGATTTTATTTGTACACTAGGCCCTACATTGCACGGTGTCCTACTAGTGACAATGCCAGAAGAATGTAGCCTAACCCCTACAAACAAACGCCTATATCTTTCCTTCCATAATTGCCAAAAAATGATGAGAGACATACCTCTAATAAGATCGTGGCTTAGTGACTGCTTCTTCAATATCCTTGAGATCCTTACGAACCTTGTCAATGGATCCTCACCTGATATAAATTGGAAACCCGTAACTGAAGAAACAACAGTCCAAATTATTTTTTGGCCGTTTATCAATTCTTTGGCCGTTTATAAACTTGTATTAGTCCATGATTCCATAATAGTTACAATGTACTTGTCTTTGGATGCATGGTGTAAAATAAGGTTTTTTTGATTGAAAAGAATTGCGAGTCAATCAAACGTTAGATTTAGAGCGACGATAAATACTCATCTATTCAAGCAATAAAATGTAGGTTCAAGTACGAGAATTAATCTATTCAAGCAGTACAAAGAATTGATCTCTTTAAACACAATAACACTGCAAGTCATTTGTCTGTCCCAACCTCCGTTGCAGGTACTGTGTTCTGTACAGATTTTTACCTCCAAAAATGCAAAAGACCAGTCAATCAACAAGAATACAATAGGGTCAAAATTGTTTGGAGGTACATGATTCTAATTGAATTAGATTTCTTTTTCCGACTAGTAGCAACCATGAGACCCACCAATCACTAGAATTCTTTAAGAATCATATTTTCCTATTGAGAGAAAAAGGTCAAACATCAAATTCTTCTGGAAAAAAATCTGCATCCCTAGCTGGACCCTTCCGGGGCTGGATTTGGAGCTCCAACTGCTTGGGCAGAACAAGTTCAATTCCATGACCTGAGAGGGAAAAAATTTCTCTCCAGCACCATCTGTAATCAAAAAATGGGCAAAAAAAAAAGTGAAAACATGTCAAAATCTATTGGGTGCATTTTCCTATTTCTGCTTCTGCTTCTGCTTGCATTCTGTGATAAGTGATTAAGCAGGGGATCTATAGGGGTCTCTATGCACAAAAAGGGGGAAAAAACAGTGAGATTAGCACTTCCCTTTAAGTAGCAAAACACTGAAGACTAAACAAATAAATAAATACATTGATAAATAGAACACAATGCATACCATAGCGGCATAGGCATCAATGCTCCCTTGCCGAACAGACTTACTGAGACCCTGAAAGGATTTGAGACGACTGCTTTAACAAAATTTGTAAGTTCCTCTCCTGGAGGAGGTTAATCATCACTACTTTGTCTAAAATCATCACATCTTCAACATCATAAGGCCATACTTCCACATAGAAACTAAAGGGTCGTTTGATAACGTTTTTATTTTTGCGTCTTCAAAAAAATAAAAAACAGAGACAATTTTTGTCTGTATTTTGTGATAAACACTGAAACAGAAAACATATTCGAGAGTCATTTGTATTTATTAAATTATGAGAATAAAAACAAAAAACATATTTGATAAGTACTTCAAGTTATATCCTACATATTAACTTTATAACATCTCATACAACAACATACAAATCAAAAAATTCCTTATCCCAACACATTTCATGTGAGATCGATCGAAGAATTTTATTGAATAAATTTCAAAGAATTACAAGAAGCAAATGAAAAGCCATGATTATTGCTTTTATCCTTCAAAACACCCTACAACCTCACATATTACAATTAAGAAAACCCTACCACATTACACAGCTGGGTAGAGAAAAAAGCAAAGCTTTTCCTCATAACAGGAATATCCCTTTTGTCCTGCTGCAACACCATCTTCACTGCAACAGGTAAAGAAGACGCCATTGGGATACACAACGAAGCTCTGTTCTGCACAGCCAGCTTGGCTAAGCAATCAGCAGCGGCGTTAGCCTCCCTGTGTACACATGGCAAAAGCTGTAATCCAAGCTCTCAAGCAACCTCACAGTCTTGGACAGCTTATACTGCTTACATTTCCCAAAAGTGTAATCCAAGCTCTCAAGCCTATGAATCTAATTCGATACACAGCTTACAATTCCCAAAATTCCGTTCTTTCACCAACTGAAGCCCATCCAATAAAGCTAAGCACTCTGCAACCATATTGGACCCTTGCGGATAAACTCTGCATTCAAAGCCAAAGAAGTAGACCAAGAAAGCAAACACTGAGAAACGATGCATTCACTTATATATTGGCATAGAGTCCAATAACTTATGCAAAACAAGGGGCAATCAACTATGAAAAAAAAAAAAGCAGAACAGGAAAACAGACGAACAAAGAAGATTCATAAAGCTAATTGACATCAATTTGCAACACCATATTCTAGTAGAAAATCAAACCTGCAAGTTTAGGCCTGGAAACAAGCCTTATATGGTAAACTGAAGGATTATTCTTCAACCAGCCAGACAACGTATATACTATTTCTTTCCCACTTCCATGTTTTTCAACAAACACTTGAAGCAATCTACCGACGATAAATGAACATGTAATTTTGGCAATTGAAAACTAAACCCATTACAGTTTGCAAACCCATCCTTCATAAGATCCCTTACCTCTTTGCCGCATTTGATGACACCAAAAAATTGCGGCTCAGCCACTTGTAGGACACCTGATAGAGAGAGGTATAAATTTCAGCAGCCCACATAATCAACTCATGCAATATAACAACCCCAATTTCCAGAGGCAATATTTTGATTTGTACAAAAAGGTGCTGACAGAGACATACGCACACCCACCCACCCACCCAAAAATCGACACATACACAGAGACAAAAACACAGATCTATGTATATATATGCATGTATATATACAGATCTACGTATATATAGAGTTTTATATACATACATCCACAGCAAGAGAAAGATCGACAGAGGGTTTCTGATCGTCTTCGTAGACCGAGCACCATTGGTTCGTCTTTGAAGGCAGAGCGCCATCACAGCAAGAGAGAGATCGACAAAGGGTTTCAGTTCGTCTTCGTAGCCAGAGCACCATCGGTTCGTCTTCATCGCTGAGAGAGAGAGGAGAAGAGAGAGAGTTGTTGAGAGTGGAGAAGAGAGAGAGTTGATCTGTGCGGAGGAGGAGAGAAAAAAGACCTCCTATTTATATTTTGAGAAATGAACTCGTCTTTTGTGGCTAACAAGACTCGAAGTTGAGATATCATTTAATCAAAAAGCGCGTGTTTTGTGTTTTGCGTGTTTCCTAGAACACAAATTTTTTGTTCCTTTTTTTTAGTCTATGTTTTCAAATAACCAATATAAAACAAAAACAAAAACAGTTATCAAACATATTTTTGTTTTTATTTTTAAAAAAAATTAAAAACAAAAATACAAAACACAAAACAAAAACGGTAAACAAACAGCCCCTAAGTTACTGATGTCATTAATTCTTACGAAGAGAAATATAGCAACATTAACACTAAAATCAAGTGTACAACGCCTGAAAATAAATATTTACAAATGCACTCCTGGCTATTTTCGATGGGTTAGATATATTTGAAAAAAGAAGGCGACCCAGTGCATGAGGCTCCCACCACTGAAGAGTGTGGGGAGAGTTAAATATATGCAATCTTACTCTACGTGTGGAAAGGTTGTTTCCGTGACTCAAATCGTTGAGGCCCCTGGTCACAATGGGCAAACCAACCTCTGCACCAAAGACCACCCTCTAGTATTTCAGCTTTTAGTGGGCATTTTCTTTTCACTAATGTCATGACTCTTATCATTTTCGCAACTGTGGGACAAAGAGACTAAAATGTAGGGGATGCTGCAACTAATCCTTTCCATATAAGGATGTCAAGGTTCCACTTCATTCACCGTCTTCTCAGCAAACAAGTGGAGTATTGTCGAATCCAAATGAAGTTACTCTAAGTTGTTGGTGCTTCAGAGACTAGGGATGAGGTATGTGCATTCTTGTAAAAGGTGGAAGACAAACCGGACCATTGTATTCTAAATATTCGAAAAAGTCTATCGTGATAAAAATATCATTTGACAAGCTCTCATTGCTATGTAGTTGTAAGCATGATATATATCAACACGCCACCCCACCCAGCCACCCACCCGTGAGGGATTTTGTGTTCAAACTTCATGGGAAACGCAACACACTGGTTCAACCGCCATGTATCCTTCTAATGCTCCATCAAAGATACATAATTTAACTCATTCACATAAAAGTGACATTAAACAGATCTATATAAACCAATGCTGATTCTTTAATCCTTGTAAGGAAAATTCCAACAAAATAATTAAGATGCAAGAGAGAAATTATTACATACTAATCATACGGTCCATAGCCTCGGTTGATGTCCCATGCTCATCTCGCAGGTACACTCTCCAACCCCAGTATTTTGGAATGCATATAAGTAGTCAATCTAACAGAAATTGATCCAAGAGTCTAGCTAGCAATAGATGCAAGAGAAAATAACAGGAAGAACAAATATGAATGTCAAGCATATATCATGTCATGCTTCTATAGGAGTCGTCTTTTGCAAAGAAATAATAAGTGAATGAACTTAAGTAAGATATATAGCTCCTAGAACTTTTCCCAAAATATAAATATACAACACTCCACAAAGTGTGATTGATCCCCGTATCGATAGGTGAGTCACACAAATCTGAGGAATTTCTTTCTTCCTCGTCCACCAAGACAACTGAAACGACATGAAAAATTCAGACTATTTTTTCTTTTTCTGAATGAGAAGTTTGCTTATCATTTTTCAATACGACAAAAATATACAGATGATATCAACCAGTCCCATGCTTTCAAATGCTTAGAACATTTCTTTCACAATATTTCATGCTTCGAGCTTTATGCTGATCAATTGTCATCATCCCAAGAAATCCCATGTTGACTTGATCATATATAGAACACAACTACACATATGTAAATGTACTTCATCCAATTCTAACTTGTACAAAGAAGATAGGTTGAAAACACCAGCCGGAAACTATGCTGAGACCAAACTTCGAAACTCAATTAAGTGTTTTAAATGTACTTCATCCAATTCTAACTAGTACAAAGAAGATAGGATGTAAACATCAGCCGGAAACTATGCTGTGACCAGACTTCGAAACTCAAATTAAAGTGTTTTAAATTTGACAAAAACAGGCTGAATCCAACAATATTATATTTTTCAAGATGACAGACGAATTGAGGATGGCAGCAATTTACAATTTCAATTCTAACCATAGAAATCTTACCAATTTTATGAATAATACTTTCATAGTATAGTATGTATGTGGTTCTTCACTCCAACCAACATTTACACATTCAACTGAATGTATCGAAATAAATCAAATCCTTGAATGATATGGCTTATGGTCAGTTTATTTTTTTATCAGAACTTATGGATAGTTACGTGATACATACTTTGCCTTAGAGGGCTCTGGGATTCAGACTTCTCATCCATCCAGAAGTATACAATAATGTATGGGTAGTGGGTCAGGCATTTCCCGATAACAAATACCGGTACAAACTGCCATATATTGAATTAAACCACTCATAATACAACCTTTAAATCAATATGAACAACCTCATGTTCTACCCTATTACATAGCCCAAAGCATTAAAATTTGACAGATATCAGAGAAATTGCTAGTTTACTTTTGCCGATTCTTATCTTTGTTACACATTGAAATCCCCCTTTTCCATTGCAGTTTTCTCCCCATCACATTAAATAGTCTGGGGGTGGCAACAGCACACACCATGCCTGTACTGGCTTGAATTCTTGTCCACACCATAGGGAGGTGCAAGTCATACCACTTAAGCTCAAAACCTTGTCGTGAGACATGGATCTAGATACTATTCTTCCTTGATCATTTATATGTTAGTGTAAGTTTTAGCATAATGTTTACAATAGCATATCCCGAATGTTTCCAAAACCTTCATATGAGACAGTCCATTCTTAGTGTCCATGACATCCCCTCAGAAAATCGAATTATATATGTCTTTTCTACAAGCTGAATTTTGAGCAAATCAATTCAGAATTGACAAATCAGAAAAGCAATTATCCTGTATTCAAGAACATCTGTCTCAAATGAATTCAAATTCCCAAAGTACTATTGCATATCCGGAAAATGAATTCAAATAGCCAAAGGTCCTTAATTCACAACCCTAAATTTTAAATGGAACTCAGATACCAAACAAGGTTGAAAAACTGCAAGTACACAATCATATCTATACATTTGAGCCTGACAATCCCTAATGAACGAAAACATGAAACTCCAAAAGTAATCACAAATACCACTTTAGCATAAAAATTCACCTCTCTGCAGCTCGAACTGCAAGCCTACAAGCAACAGAACGAACTTTATTGGACTGCGGCGTCTCTTTTTCATCAGAAGACTTGAGACTACTATGAACTCATCAACCTCCTACTACATACCAACTCACAATCGTTACGAATGTAGGAAAAAAAAATTGACCCACACCAGCAAATCAATCAGAACCCACACCCACAATTACGAAATCACTCAAACCCCATATGGGTTTTCTATCTCTCTTACTTTACAGCCACTAAAGACATTAACCAATCTCTATATCAATATCTATGTCTGTTTGTGCATGTGAGTGAGAGGGAGAGGGTCCTGTACCTGCTTCTGAGCAATATCAATAAGTCGAAGCTCCAATTTTTGCCCTCTCAACTCCAGAACCTAACTCAATCAGCTCACTAGAGGCCGCAATGTGTGTCTGAGAGAGATAGAGACAGTAATTGTGGCAGTTATAAACATATACGCACCGTCAAGTGTCAAACAGAGAAGCCCTTGCTGAGTGCAAGGCCAGTGCAGGACATGCCCAGATCTACCCCTAGACTGAACCTTCCTCTCCAGTTCCGGTCACACTTCCGGCGAAGTAATAAAATAATGAAAAAATGCCCAAATGCTATTTATTAAAACCTAATTTGCCGACACAATTAAACACAACTATTAAATTAGTAACGGATCTAAACAAATACTATGACCCATTGTCATTCAATTATTGTGAGTGATTAGATCAACAAATTAAATCCAAATAACATTATTCGTATACATAATTCAGATTTATGCAAAATTCTGTCAAGGGCAAGAATAAGTGCTCCCTTGTTCAGTCAATACAACGAGAGTTCGAGTCCAAAAATCCGTCTCTTTGAAATAGAATAACACCGCAATTCATTTATACATTGCAGGTAGTTCTGTACAGTTTTTTTCCCCCAGAAATGCAATAGACCAGTTAAGCAACAAGTTCTCGACAAATGCAATAGGTAGTTCTCTGCATCCCTAGGTGGAGTCTTCCAGAGCTTGTTTTGGAGCTCGCTTGGGCAGAACAAGTTCGATTCCATGTCCTTAAGAGGGAAAAATATCTCTCCAGCACCATATGTAGCTCAAAAAAGGGCCAAAAAAAAGTGAACATGTCAATCAGTTGGCTACATTTTGCAATTTCTGCTTGCATTCTGAAATAGGTGAATAAGGAGGGCACCATCTGTGTGATAAGCAATTTTTTTTTTGTGCAAGTACGATTAGCACTTTCCTTTGCCTGAGAAACAATGGAAGCCGCAAGTAGCCAAAAATAAAAAAAAAAAGAAATTGATAAATCAAACACAATGCATACCATAGCAGCATAGGCATCGATTCTCCCTTGCTGAACAGACTTCCTGAGACTCCTGCAAGGTTTTGAGATGACTTATTTAACAAAATATACAGGTCCATTTCCTGTGGCACTACTTTGTTTGAAGTCGCATACTAAACATAGTAAGGGCATACTACCAATAGCAACGACAACAGCAGTAATAAAGTTGAGCTGAAAATAAATATTTACACATGCACTCTTGACCATTCCTACTGGATATTAATTTCACATTCACTCTACTACCAGCAAACAAGTGGAGTATTGTGGAATCCAAATGAAGTTAAGTTGTTGATGCTTCAGAGACTGGTTGGAGATACAGAATTTAATGTGTGTGCATTCTTATAGCCATTGTATTCTACTCATCTTGAACAAGTCTATCAGGATTGTAATATCATTTTGACAATCTACATTCTCATTGCTATGTAATTCCAAGCATGACATCTATAGGTATCACATCCCACACCACCGGCAGGATTCTGTATTCAAACTTCATAAGAAACGCAACACACTGGGGTTCAACCACCATCTGTCCTTCTAATGCCCCATCACTGATTCAAGCATCGAGGGAAATAACAACTTGGAAAACAAAATTAAATTCATTCAAATAACGACGACAATAAACATGACCCTTACTAGACATAAAAGAAATATCGGAATATGCACAAAAATAAAAAAAATTCACAAGGAAAATAATCCTACAAATATAAAGCCTTCTAACAAAAAATCAGCCATAGCCAAAAAATTTCAGCTGTGTGGCGATTACTTTTCCCCATTTGCTTAACAAGATAAATACATGTTTTTTTTAATAAGAAACTGAATTTCATAAATAATGAAGTAGTACATGAGTTGAAACAAAGGTGGACAAGTCGTCCAACTAGAAACCACAAGAAAAGTCATAAACAGAACATGGCACTACAAGGAACCAGAAACCTTGTCAAATGCCACGACACATTCCAACTTGTCATAATACAAAAAAGAGGGATATTCCCAAATTCTTCATAAACTAAGACCCAAAGGAAGCCCGGAGAAAATATATTGATGGCGCTGATCTATAACGACCCATCAACAACTTCAACACAAACTGCATCTACATACATACAGACATGATCTATAAAATAATATACAAAAATTATATACCTTTTCAGGAAAACCACCCTTGACAGTATGGTTCTTGATGGCTTCTTTTCTATAGGCTATTTTCAGATCATCCAGTGAAGCATTTCTGAAACACAAAGAATTTCGTGACACTTTTTGTTATCACTTTTCTTGGGTACCCTTCCAAGCATCTGCCAGCCTGCAAAACAAACCGCAATTCAACAATCAAACCAAAACCCCTAAACTGCCAAACGGTATATACACCTACACACATACTGATCTTTTCAAATCTGGAAACAGATCATGAGGAAGAGGAGAGGACAAAGAAGCTGAAACTTAAGGATGCACATGACAGAAGTAACTTTTAATGTTGTTACAATTATAACTACAATATACACTTTATATAATCATTCAGGGGTAAGATTAGAAAATAGAACCACCCATTATGTCAATGTAAGAGATTGATCATTCACAGATTCTTGCATGACATGAGCAAACATGCAATATAAGTACACAAGAGTCAAATTATTACAACCTGTCAAAATTCAGATTGTCTACAGTCCAACCTTTCATAAAGAAAAGCAGTCTGTTGTTTTTCAAAGAAAAGTAAGAGTCCCACCATTACAAACCCCTATATACACCAATTCTGGAGTCCTATATACACCAATTCTGGAGTCGAATGATCCATTGCGACTTTAAACACACAATAAAGCTAAAACGCCAATCTTCCACCAATTTATATCCAGGATGATTAGTATAACATATAGTGGAAATCACGCAAAAATATATGCAGAACATACTACCAAATAAGATCCAGACGAATACCATTTAAAAAAATGTTCCAGCTCAACACCTGAGGCTATAAAGAAGCAACCCACTAAGACTCGTCATTCAGAAACACAAGCATAACCCAATTCATGAAGCACATGTCAACTTACACAAAAAATGAGTTCATACACCACTACTGGCATGGCTTCAGTACCTATTAAACTTTGAAAGCAATGCAAGAGACCCATTATTTCGGAACTTATATAGACACCAAATCCCAAAGTGAAGACTGATCCCATCTTTAAAATGGGCATTTAGAAGATGGTCTTTTGGTGGAAGTCCATCCATGAAACGGACCAATGTTTTTCGAAAGGGACTTTTATGACCCAAAAGTCCATTTGAAAGTGTCGCCAAACGTACTCTAAGCTGTTTTGAATCATGATTAACTCTCTTGAGAGTATATCCCGGGATTTTTTTGTATATATTCAATAATATTGTAAATATAATTCTTTGATAAATGAAACCATTGGTAAAAAACAAGATGAAGATAATTTGCTCTAAAGCAAGTACAAGATAGGAGGAAATAGTGGTAAGCGGAAAAGAAAAAAGGGAGCTCTAAACCTATCACCAACCAGCCTCTAACAACAAGTCTAATAAAACACTTCAACATGAATGATTACAACATGAGGCTACCGTTACAACACAAGCATTAAACGGCTGGAGAGGATTTACACTTGTGGAGATGGATTTGGCTGCGCTGCTATGTTGCTTTGGGTGGACCAATTCAGAATATCGGGAATGTAGGTAACCAGATTGGCTATTCCATCACAGAGCCAACAACACCCACGCTTGTGTTTATTCAATGCTACTATTATTAGCACAACTAGTATTACAGCAAAAGTCAATAACTCGGGGATGCGTGGGAGGAGGACCGATATTAGTGAGACCGAAGCAAGAACTCCAAAGAGGAGAATAACATGGTCTATGATTGGTGAGTAGTTTGCAACACTACTTTGAATTTTATTTCTTCTTCCCTTTGCAAGACAGTAGATGCATATGGCTATACAGAAGCACCACATGTTTATTGGGCGTGCTTCAAATGGATCCTCATTTTTCGTTTGATACTTCATGGCAACAAGGGCAACTAGTACTGGCACCAGATATTTGAAGACTGCGATGCTTGATGGATGATTTGACATTTTCCTTGTTTCCACTATCAAAAAAATGAAATGAAGTTGTTTTAGAATACAAATTTGGTAAAAGAAGGAATCGGGCCTCATTTGAATTGTCCAGTCACCTAAATTATATGGTCTTCCTATGTTTGTTTATGAGTTGACTCAACATGTCTAAAAGTCGCTTATACAGCTGAAGTAGATGGTTAGCTAACTTATAATGAAAATGTGTCTCGGCTCATGAATGTGTTTTATGGGTACTAGGCTACTAGTAATAAAAAACACATGAAAGTTTTCCGTAAAAAAATTGATGAAGTTTGAAAGGGGGATAATACATACAGATTTAAAGAAAAAAATACATATATTGGTTTTTTGGCACTTGGGACAATACTGTAGTAATAGACTTTTCAACATGTTTTTTAAATATTTTACTGAATTTTTTTTTTGCAAAAATAGGGAAATTTACATGATTTGTTGGAGGGTAATTTGGCTATTTAAACATAAAAAGATACAATGCTAATATGGATATTTTCAAAATGTAATCTTTGGCAAACAAGCAATGGAACATGCCATCTTCAACTCATCTGTACCCAAGTTAAAGGACATGCATATAGGATATCTTGATAATTAACTTCAGGGTGTCAAAATAGCACTCATGCTTTTGGGTTCCCCAAAAAGAAGACATGTAGTAGGAGGAGGGGGAGGTAGAGGAAAGTGATCAATATGAATTTTAGTATATAATTACAATAATGCTAGTTTGACCTAATTTAAGAAACTAATTTGGAGACTTAATGCATTGTAGCTTTCGGATTGATACACTATCAATCCAATGACCATCGTGCATGATAACCCCAAATCAAGTCCTGAAGTTAAGGCTCAATAGTATTACACATATAATTAACGTAGTTACACAAGTGCACTGGTATTTTATTATGCATGCAATTTATGCTTGAAAGAATGGAGTATACTTGCGGAAAAAAAAGAAGCAAAAAACAAATATATAAAAACAAAAAATTTCCCAAAAAAAATGTACTAAAAAGCGGGAAAAAGAAAACAAAAAAGTATCCAAAAATACTTTACCAAACAGTTTTAACATTTAAGTCAGATGGGTATGATAATTAAAAAACTGTAGTAGCACCGCAAAAATTCAGGAGGGTAGTCAGAATATGAATAACAGAAAGAATATCCTCCAAAGCCAACAAAGCATCAACAAGCTTAATCACTGATCTGGGCATAACACATTAAGTAATGAACATGCTCAGCCCAAAAACATGAGCTCTGGACATACATCAGGTTGGAACTCACAACAAAATGAGCATTCTAAAAGCATAGAACATGATCTGAGTTTCTAAAAATTCCAACAAAGATCAAGATTAATCTGGAATTCTAATGAACAACAAAAACAAAACATCACCCAGAATTTTGTTTCCAACAATACAGACCACTTGAATACTGCAATCATGGTTAGTGTACGGCTGCTGAAATAAGTGAAAAAATATATATATTCAATACAATGGTGATACCATCCCACACCCCACAATAGGAAAAATGAACAAGTAAATCCCACACAATTCAATAAGACTAAGTCAATCCCACGATAATTACTAACAGAATAAGGTGTATATGGATTGAAATTATTGGAGAGTTCAATGGGAACAAAAAATAATTTTAGGATCCATGTACACCTTATCCTGTTAGAGATCAACATTGAGATCCCGAGAGTCCTGGAAAGAGAATACTAAACAGTCCACTCAAAAGATGAGTAAAACTAGATCTAAAAACCAAAATCGATCATCAAGTAGAACAAAGTTTTACAAATAAATATAAAATCGAGAGAGAGAGATAGAGCCCTGGAAAAAGAGACCAAAAGTTCCATTCGAAAGATGTCTAAAAGGACGACATAAAAATCAAAAACCAAATTGAACATGGATTGAAATAATTGGAGAATTTAATGGAAACAGAAATTGAACGGCCAGCAAAATTCCAAAACCTGTTACTTTTCCCCATCTGCTTAACAAGATAAATACATTTTTTTTTCCTGATAACAAACAAAATTTCATAAATAATATAACGAAGTATAACATGGGTTGAAACAAAGGTGGACAAGTAATCCAACCAGAAACCACAAGAAAATCAATAAACAAATCGTGGCACTACAAGGACCAAAAAACCTTGTCAAATGCCACGATGAATTCCAAGTTGCCAGAATACCAAAAAAGGGATATGAACGATTGCAACACCATGAGGATGAGTGGAGAGGATTACACTCGCAGTGATGGATTTGGCTGCGCTGCCATGCCATGTTGCCTTAGGTGGACCAATTCCGAATATCTGGTTGCTCTGTCATAGAGCCAACAACATCCACGCTTGAGTTTATTCCATGCTATTATTATTAGTACAAATGGCATTACAGCAAAACTCAGGAATCCGAGGCCACATGGGAGGAGGACCGATAGTAATGAGACAGAAGAAAGAGCTCCAGAGACGAGAATAACATGGTCTATGATATGCAAGTATTTTGCAACATGGTTTTTATTTCGTTCCATTATTCCCAATGCAATGCCATAGATGATTGTGGCTATAACGAAGCACCACATGTTTATCGGGCGTGCTTCAAATGGATCCTCATTTTTGACTTGACACTTCGTGGCGACGGCAGCAAATAATAATGGCACCAGATATTTGAAGATCTCATGGCTTGGAGGAGATGATTCGATCTTGCTTCCACTATCAGAAAAATGAAATAAAGTAGTGTTAGAATACAAATTTGGGAAAATAAGGTGCAAGACCTCACTTGAATTGTCCACATAAATTAAAAGGTCTTCCAATGCTTGCTTATGACTAGACTCAAAATATCCAAAAGTCGCTTATACTCTTGAAGTAAATGGTTGGCTAACTTATGAACGTGTTTTTATTTATACTAGCCATGCAAAACATGAGTTGCAAGGAAAGTCTTCCGTAAACAAATTGATAAATTTTGAAAAAATAGAAGGGGATAATACATAGAGATGAAGAGACAAAATACATATATTGGTTTTTGGACATTTGGGATATCACCACATTAATAGAGTTGTCAACGCGGNAGACAAAATACATATATTGGTTTTTGGACATTTGGGATATCACTGCATTAATAGAGTTGTCAACGCGGTTTTTAATATTTTACTGAAAAAAATAATGTTCTCTTTATCAATTGTGCAAAGGTTGATATGGTTATTCAAATTTTTTGCTAAAATAGGGAAATTTACATGATTTAGTGGAGGGTAATTTGGTTATTTAAACATAGAAAGATGCAATGCTAATATGAATATTTTCAGAAAATAATGTTCGACTACAGATGTATATAAACAAATATCCTCCAAAGACAGAGGCATCTACAAGCTTAATCACCAACCTGGACATAAGATGTATAAAGGAAAGTAATGAACATGCTCAGCCCAAAAAACTTGAGCTCCGGGCACAAATCAGTTTCCAACTCACAACAAAATGAGCATTCTAAAAGCATAGATCATGATAACCAGCCCGAGAACAAAAAACATCATCCAAGTTTCTAAAAATTCCAATGAAGATCAAGCTTAATCAGTAATTCCAATGAAGAATAACAAAAAACATGACCTAAAATTTTGTTTTCAACAATAGACAACACTTAGAATACGGCAATCAGGGTTAGTGTACGGCTGCTGAAATAAGTGATAACAAACATTCAATACAATGGTGATACCATCCCACACCACACAATAGGAAAATGAACAAGTGAATCCCTTAGCGAAAATACTTCTCTACGTCAATCCCACGATAATTACAAAATCTAACAGAATAAGGTTNACACAATAGGAAAATGAACAAGTGAATCCCTTAGCGAAAATACTTCTCTACGTCAATCCCACGATAATTACTAAATCTAACAGAATAAGGTGTATATGGATTGAAATTATTGGAGAGTTCAATGGGAACATAAATTAATTTTAGTATCCATGTACACCTTATCCTGTTAGAGATGAAGATCGAGATCCCGAGAGTCCTGGAAAGAGAATATCAAACAGTCCACTCAAAAGATGAGTAAAAATAGATCTAAAAACCAAAACCGATCATCAAGTAGAACAAAGTTTTACAAATAAATATATAATCCAGAGAGAGAGAGAGTCCTGGAAAAAGAGACCAAAAGATCCATTCGAAAGATGTCTAAAAGGACGATATAAAAATCAAAAACCAAATTGAACATGGATTGAAATAATTGGAGAAATTAATGGAAACAGAAATTGAACGGCCAACGAAATTCCAAAACCTGTGCATCGAATACAAATCTGAACACTGGACAGGCTTTAAATTAAAACAGGAAGAAAATAAATCGATCGAAATACTACTAACCTTGTTCTATTAGAGATCGGAATCAGCAGGAGCGGAACCAGAAATTTGTTCGAGAATGAACACACTTTAACAACAATATTTACATTTTTAACAGCGGCGTCGCTGTAAGGGATGTTGAGGGTGAAGAGGGATGGGAAAGAATGATGAGATCTGGGGAGAGAGAAAAAGAAAAACGGGGAGAAGAAGGGAGAGGGCCATGTCCATGTGTGGGTGAGTGAGGCGTTGGCAGGTGTGGAAAGGTGGAATTTTGTTTTGGGGAATCAAAAGAGGCAGGGAGTGGGTTTTGAAGTTTGGGTGGGCTTATTTCTTATTTTTTATTTTATTGGACGTGGCCTAATTAAAAATTAGGATTAATTTTACTTAGAGTTTGTCATTTGATACAATTAACCTAAAAATAACTCAAAAATATCACGATAAGCTACTTCTCTAAATTTGGCTCAAAAAACAAAAAAAAAAAAAAAAGAAGCAACTTCTCTAAATGAATCCAACGGTAAGAGAATAAAGTGTACATAAAAATTAAAAAGCTTTATAGAAATTGAAGATAGTAATTACTAAATTTAATGGAACCAAAATAACATTGTACAAATTTAAATAATTAGAAAATTTAATCTAATCACAACAAAATAAAGTTTACAAATTGAAATAATTGGAGAATTTAATGGAAACAAAATTAAAAATAAACAACAAAATACCAAATCCTGCACTCGAATACAAATATGAACACTGAACCAAAATAAAAATGCACAAGACGAGAAACAAATGCATGACGTGAAACGTTGAAGAAACATACTACCTGGTGCTAGTGGTGCTTATTACATACACAGGAATATCACCCCTCCTCCTTTTATTCATCCTTTTAGCAATCACCCGTGAACCATACATAATAGGAGAGTTTTGGATTGACCGGGGATTCGCCATCTTAAATAATGGCAATATAATTTGACTCGGAAGGAACGCGTTCATGTTAACGAAGAAGAACTTGCACTGCAACTTCCACTTTAAGGGAATCTTACGATTCGCCGTTATGCAAAAAACACAAACTAAACTATAAAAGTCAATATGCAAGGAGCAAACAAAACTATAAAAGTCTCCACATGACTCTGTTTTGGACAAAAATTATCAAATTGTCAGGAAAAAGTAAAATAAAATCACATTCGCCCAATTTTTCATGTGGGTTGAGTTTTTGGATTTCTTCTTAAGCATAATAATTAATTTGAATAACTTCAGGGTATTTGATTGGAGATTTCTTTGAACTTATTTGTGCCAAGTTTACTTTTTATTTTGCTTCACTAGTTACGTGCTTTTCTTACTAGCTATGTACTCTCATTTTTTATAATAGTGTGTCTGTGGTACACAAGTTTTTTTGTTTTAATACATGATTTAAGGATAATATTTTTTGACCCGAAATAAACCACAACAAAGTTTTTTCAACAAATTAATAGGCTAGATTTGATCAGTTTTTGAAATAAATTTAAAAATAACCTGATCTATTAATATAAATATTAAATTAATTAGATTAATATCAAACATGAATTTGCCTCAATATATACATTCAACTTATATTGTATAAATGTATGATTTTTATTATCTTTTACCAGGTATTAATATCAATAGCTTTAAAGTAGGAGGATTTTTTTACTTATTTTTTGTATTATGTGGACCGACTAGTCATAACACGTGTCTAAAAACACGATAAAATATAAAATTCAAGCGTTCAAAAAATCGATCAAATTATATTAAATTTTTTCAAAAATATATTAACTATAAATTATAATCAAATATTAAATAATTAAATATATAATAGAAATAAGTGATGTAATATTTTTAAAGAGGAAATATATAAATGATTAAACATGTGATAGAAATGAATGATGCGATTTGACATTTGAATCTAACAAAGGGATGATGGGTGAAATAATTGATTGGTGATGATTTTGATAAAAAAAATATGATTAAAATAAAATTTAAACACAGTCTTATTTTATTATATAAATATATGTAGTACGAAACATTGAAGACATATTCTTGGATTTTTCTGTGAGTTTGAGAGAACACAAAGGTCTACATTGTGGGTCCGGGGTCACAATGCAGTGCAAGACAGCAGATCACTTGCCACTATCCCCAAAGGAAAACCTCAGTTGTTGGGGGTTGAAATTTAAGTGGTTCATCATGTCATTTTGGGGGTATTTTCCGCAATGCATGAATAAAGTTCAACGTTACCACAAAATTAACGAATTATGATTGATTATAACTTTACATAAATTCAAAAATAACATCATCTCTAGTCAGATAAATACCGAATATATTTTGTTAGTATTAAACATAAATAGCATAATTTTACTATAAAAAATCGATTTATCTGATGTTGTATGCAAAAGTTTGAGTTTTTTTCTTGTCTTATTCATATATTGATTTAACTAACTTTTTATGAATACTTGTGTAGAATTAGAGAATGACCTACTTGATCTTACTAACATATGAGTCAAAAGAAAAATAGTATAATTCTAGTTTTCGATTCACCGATTGTACTTGTCAATCTGAATATTACATAATTAATACAGAATAATTTTTATGCTATGTGGTATGTTTAATTAACCATATCAGAATATGGTTTAGTACTGATAGGTACCAATTGTTATTAGACTTTGATTGGTAAAATTATTTTGCTGAATTATTCTTTGTCAAGTTCATTCCCTAAGGGTAGCTTAAATGGGGAGGCTTTGACCGGAGAATCCTTATGATTGATTAATAAGGTTTCTGTCGGAGGATGACTAGAAAATATTTTGGAGGCATCTTCTTTTTTCCATTTATGTTTTGTAATTACTTTAACTTCTTTGTAATGGTTTTCTAAATAATCAAAGAAAAAGATTTCATATCTTATTTCATTCATAAACTTAGTCTATTTTTCAAAACATCTTTTATTGTTTACTGTCACTATATTTGTTATTAAATTCACGTCTTTTAGGTTTATTTTCCTTAGACTTGAATTCATCATATCATATGTCTATATTAATTATAAACAAATCATTAAATTTACTAATTGTAAGTAATTGTTTGTTTACTGGGGAGTTACTCTCTAAGTCAATAGCAGAAGGAGATGGTGTGAAATTATCATCTTTTTCTTCTTCTTGAAACCTTGATTGTGGAGTGTAACATGATTTACTAATTTGTGACGTGGAAGTATCAATTCCTTTTAACTTAAAATTTTTTTTCAACTCATTTGCTAAATCTTTATATCTCCGAGTTAACTTAGAATAGACTGATTCAAATTTTCTGCCTTCATTGATCTGCAGTGGTTTGTTAAAAGGTCTACCAGATCTGTGAGATCTTGTGTTATCAAATAAGATTTTTACTGATCTTGTTGGATATCTTTTAACTCTGTTGTGGAAAGTAATTCATGTAAAAGATTATGGGACCCGCATCAACCAAGTGTGGAAACTTGAAAGCAATTCATATAGAATAGGGTAAATTATATTCATACCCCCTGACATTTGGCTTTATTACACATATATCCTCTTACTTTTCAATAATTACACTGAAACCCCAATAGTTAGACGGAGTTAACTATCTTACTAAAAAGACTATTTTGCCCCTCTGTTCACCAGTCTTCTTTCTCCCTCCTCAGACCATCTATGTGTGTGTTATATATACACACACACACATACATACATATATACATACATACAGGAAAGGAGGGAAATCTATGGTGATATAACATACCCCAATATCAACTGTGCATGCAAGATCCTGCACAATATAAAAAACGAGAACAGATATCTCCCTTGGTGAACTCGAGTGAGCCGGTTGAGTGACCAAACACGCTGTTTGGGACAACCTGCAAGGTACGGTGGTAACCTGGGACGGCCACGGGAGACCTTGGGAAAGGAAGAACGATCCTGTAAGGATGAAAGAGGTTCCTGGAATAAAGAAGGACAAGTTAGAAGGGCGCCGGAGTGTTTTTCGGCGTATCCCCTCCGACGATCTAGTCAGTCTTTGAGAGAGAGAGAGAGGATAGAGAAAACACTGAGTGTGTATTGTAGTAGAGAGTTTGCTGTTGCATACCCGCTTTGCCTTTTGCAAGGAGTATTTATACCTTAAAAGCTCCTGATTGCTGTCAGTGTCGTCAGTAGGTGATCATTAGGCACAGGTAGCGTGTGCATTGATTCTGATGAGGAATGTCTTCTCTAATTAACTGCTCGGGGTCCCGAGCAATCAATGNTATTTATACCTTAAAAGCTCATGATTGCTGTCAGTGTCGTCAGTAGGTGATCATTAGGCACAGGTAGCGTGTGCATTGATTCTGATGAGGAATGTCTTCTCTAATTAACTGCTCGGGGTCCCCAGCAATCAATGCTGAATCATCGGGATGCCGACGGTACAATGTGCTCCTCTCGGGGAGGATGCAATAAATGCTCTGTAATAGGAGCATTTATTGCCTTTCATTTCCGAGCCTTATCGCATTGAATGCGGTCTCATCAAGGGAATGGTGCAATTAATTGTTTGCTTTCCCAAGTCGCGTGTCAGCAACGGCATGCGGTTTGTCTGTCTTTGATGTGATATCATATGCCACGCGTCCATCCCCTATTGGCTGTGACCTCTGTATTCCAGTACGTTCTGACATTACTTGTGTAAGACGAGGTCATGATGGATAGCCTAGACTAGCCTAGGTTAATGACCTGTACGTCAATAGTTTATCCTGGAGTAGAGAAAGCGTCCAGGATGGGGGTACCTCTCGGCACCGAGAAAGGCTCATCTCGGGGACCGAGGGAGGTATGCCGACCGAGGTACATATCAGACCGAGGCCACGTGTTAGTTGTAAAATATACTGAATGTATGATCCTATATGACGGTACCTCGGGGGCGAGGACATTCGTGCGCCGATGGTGCTTGATCTTAGCAAGTGTTTTAGTAAAACCGAAGACACGTGTTTTCATCATAGGGTATTTCAGAAAAGTCTCATCATCAACAATTCTTTTTTTTTTTTTTCTCTCTCTCTCTCTCTCTCTCTCTCTCCAGTGATATAACAGACCCCAATACCCAGCAATTATCTTTCTCCCGCGATATAACAGACCCCCAATACCCAGCAACACAACCACAACACCCCTCCACCCCGGCCTCCCCTCTCTCTCTCTCTCTTTGGCGATATAACAGACCCCTAATATCCAGTGACAAAACCACAACACCTCACTTTCCCGTTTTTGTCACTAGTACCCATCATTAACCACTGTCAGAAACCCAATCGCAACAATGGAGTCGACCGTCAACATATCCATTGGCTGAAATCCCACCAGAAATAAAGAGACTCATCAACACCATCACCTCAACCATCCAAAATCACCCCATTAGGGTTTGCGATTTTTACCTCAAATCTTCTTTCTCTCTCAATGCTAGCTGGTTTTGTAAATGTTCATTCTTGACAAAACTGCGTGTGAGGGTGATCTGTTGCAGCGGTGAATGTCGGTGGTGGTCGGTGGTGGCTTTCAGTGTAAGGTTTTGGACGATTAGTCTCTCTTTCTCTCTCTCTCTCTCTCTCTCTCTCTCTCTGTGTGTGTATATATATAGAGAGAAAGAACCAGTGAAAATTGCTAAACCCTTCCCCACCACTGCAACACTCTCTAGTAGCCACCCCCATCCAAATTTTGAGAAAATTGAAAGGATTCGATGCATAGATTTGGGTTTGCTTTTGCTGCTATCATTGAGATGAAGAGGGTATGAGCTTCCATTGACTGTTGGTGGTGTTCTCTGTATGTGTGTGTGTGTGTGAGAGAGAGAGAGAGAGAAAGAGAATCAGAGAGATGAGGTGGTGGTGATTTTTAGGGAAGTATGGTGGTGGTTCCGTGGTGTGGAGGCGGCGGTGGGTGGTTAATTCAACATTTAATTTT